TGTTCAATCTAAAATTACGAATGTCCACAGAAAAAATGCAATACAATGAAAGTGGTTGAACGAGATCAAGTTTTATCGGGAAAATTTTTTACAGCACAAAGAAAATGCTAAATTTAGGATATTTCAACTACCCAAAGAAATTTTAAGTACACTCAGTGACAGCTACACTTCTTTTTTACTGACTGTATAACTAATGTTCTTTCAAACTGTTCTTCAACACGTTGCCTTTCCTCTTGTCAAAAAATTTTATAACTGTACAGTACTATTGAAAGATTCGCTTTGACACATCCCAAGAAGAAGAGAAAGCACGTATACTATATGACACTGTGCAAAACTGGAGGATAAATAAATAGTAGAAAAGAAAATACAGAGAACAAAGAAAGAAACAAACAAACAAAAAATAAATTTTCCTCGTGTAACTGGAAAGACAGTCAGCGGATGAAGATAATGTCTAACTCATTCAGCTTTTAGTTGTCTCTCGAAATTTTTCTAGTTTTCATCATCATTTTGTTGAAGAAAAGGCAATGAATTTACTGTGGGGATATGGATCCTCTAGTAGCTAACTCTAAACGTAGAAGTAAAGCTATATTGAGAATCAACTCTCACTCCGATATCTTTATTTGAAGCAACTGAACAGCTATATATAGTTGGTATTTTGCTATCAAGTTGGTATTTTTAAACATATAGTATGTTTGAAAATATTAAGTAGAATTATTTCTTTTTCGTTCCTATTTTACTAAATCGTTTTGATTTAGTGCCATTTTGGCCAGGCACGTGGACATGTGTTATAAAAGCGGTATGAAAGTCCCTAAGCACTGTTTTTATAGGTTTTCGTATACGCTCTTTTCAATGGCGTAGTCTTCAAACTTTCGAAGTATGTTCGAACTGGTTTTTCAAACATCGGATCTCTGAAAAATCGGCACAAGCCTACATTGAAAGCTTGACGATTGGCTCATTGAAAAGAGCGTATACGAAAACCTATAAAAACAGTACTTAGGGACTTTCATACCGCTTTTATAACACATGTCCACGTGCCCGGCCAAAATTGCTATGTCAATACGCTGAAACCGTCACATTACACTAAATCGAAACATTTTTTATTCAGAAATATCTCAAACACACATCTTTAGATTCAGTTTTTCGCTCTGATTCCAAATCTGCCATTACTTTTGCGAAAAACTGCTTTGGAAGCGAGAAAATCACGAAAAACCTTCCGAAAATCCGGCTTTTTGAAAAAATGTATCTCCCTGCAGAAGCGTTTGGGCAAGTCTGGGCTAATTCTGCAAAGTTGTCACATATAGACGAACATTTCCTGAAAGTTTTATCTTGAACGGACTTTAGCTAAAATTAGCGCGCTTACTATACTGAACACTTCTCCCGTGCACGTGCATGCGAAAATTGTTTCGATAATTTTTTCCTTAGAAAAATGACTTAAACGAAAAATTTTTTTATCAATCGAAAGCTTAGATGTTCAGCTTTCATAATCTATTAAACTTAATTTTTTCAAAACTCTACTACTTAGAAAAAATAACGCGTCTCGCAAAAACAGCGCCAAAACAGGCAAAATCTTGCGACTTACCTTTCTCCAGGATAATATAAGATAGGACCAAACGGTCTTCGACAAAATTGTTCGCCGTTGAGTGCTACATATGGTCCACTATTCGAATTTTCAAAAATGTCACTTTCGATTTTTCACCTAATGTCTACGTTGTTCCCCACTGCAGGGCCGTAACCAGGAATTTGGTAAGGGGTGGGCATGTAGAAAAATATTCCATCTTTACTAGTGTGAATTTCCATTTTTAAGTTAGGTCGAGCATAAATTTTTTCTTGCGTTTTATCTCTACATGACGTTTATCGCCTTGACTGTTCTGAGTTACTAGAAAAAATAACAAGAAGAAGAAAGGCTTTTGATAGGACAGAGAAAGAGAAGGTCTAGGAATGTCTCTAAAAATTTAAGAATAGAATAAAACAGTTCTGCTTAATCATTGGTGAATTTGATTCGTCGTTTATCTTTGCAAAACTCATTAACAACATCTTCAACATTCAATTCTTTTGTGTATTGTTGATGAATATGAATGAGAGCAAGACTACTTAATCGATCATCATCGTTACTGTTTCGTAAACAATTTTTGATTAGTTTCATTGTTGAAAATGATCGTTCAGCTGTTGCTACTGTTACGGGTAAAACGGCAAATAATTCAAATAACTGATTTAAATTAGGAAAGAATGATCGACAATGAACTAATTCAATTAATGTTTCATTGATATTTGTTGGTCTCTCTTCCACTATTATTTTTTCCCATTTATTTTTCCAGATATGAAATTCGGCGTAGATAACACTATTATCATCCGACGATAGATCATCTTTATAAAATTCAACTAATTCTTTAATATCATCGACTGTTCGATCTACCACATAAACTGGAATTAAGTTCATGATTTTCGCTAGTATTTTTTGATGTTCACTGAACCTGTATGATAATTGATCCAGAGTTGTTTGTATGAATGTTTCATAAATGTGTCTCAAATATAATTCAACTGTTTTATGTTTACTGGTTCTTGATATTTTTAATTCAACATCATTATCATGGGAAAATTGTTCAAGATCATTTTGTAATTCATCGAGTTTAGCTTTATCATATTTCAATTTGGTCAAATATGTCCCGATATTTTCAATATTATCGTAACATTGAATGAGATCTAAATATGTATCAACTACACATTTTATCGACGGACGAATAACTAACTCACCACATTTCTTATCTTGCAACACCTCGGAATATGGTTTTGTAATATCAAATATTTTTGACACAACAAACAATGGTATTATAAAATCAGTATCGGCAATACATTTTAAATAAGCTCTCGCATTACCACTTGTTTCTGCATCACCATTCTCCATCATAAATTCTAACAAAATAACAACCGCAGGATAAAATTGTTTGAACGTTAGAACTGACACATGTTTATCTATCCAACGATGCTCTACTAATTTTGTTAGTTTCCTTTTTCTTGTGGTACATGTGTTGCTTCGATTGCCGATTTGAGTATCGATTGACATTTTGGTGATGAATTAATAAATTTAATTATTACTTTAACTGATCCAAAGAATGATTTTATTATACTCTCACTACATGCGTCACATATTGCTAAGTCCAATGAATGACTTGAGCAATGAACATAAATTGCCTTCGGTATAATATCAGATATAATTTTTTGAACACCATTAAGATGTCCAGACATGACACTGGCACCGTCATAACCTTGCCCTAAAGACACATTCGAGTTACACGACAATTACTATGAAACAGAATTGTACCTCTTAAATAAAATAAATCCAGACCAGCAGCGCGTATAAATTCAATAATTTTGTCGGATATACCAGCAGCAGTAACATCATGAAGCGGAGTGAAACCAATAAAATCTTCTTTGATCTCTATACCATCATTTTTCCAAGATAAATATCGTACAGAGAGTGAGAGTTGTTCAATTCCGCTAACGTCTGATGTTTCATTATGTATTAGTTGTGACAACGTATCGTCCAATGACAATAGGAAACTTCTCTATTTTCGTATCTGGACCAGCCAACGTCAGTCTTAATTCCTTTAGTAAGTGTTTGAACTGTTTTATGGATAAAAAAG